TCAACTTCTAAAGAAATCACCACAAGTGAGTTAAAAAAGAATGAGGTTTGAGGGTTGGGATAAGAATGAGGAGTCACCGAGGACAAGTTGCTGGACTGTAGGAGGAAGAGCTGGGCCTTGGTGGAGGGGAGGGGAGGCTGGGGCTTCGGATTTGTGTGTGGCAGCTAGGGTGACCAGCCACCCCGGTTTGCCTGGGACTGAGCTGGTGTTAGTGTTGGAAGACCCACGGCCGAGAAACCGCTCTCAGCCCAGGGCAAACTGGGACAGTTGGTCACCACAGGGGCAACAAGTATTTGATGAGGGAGGTGCCAAGTGGTGATGAAGTTGTTGCTAGAAGGATGAAGGGTTGGAGCAGAGGGTCTTAACCACGGCTGCTCATTGCAATAATCTGGGGAGACTTTAAAACTCCTGGTGTTCACTCAGCACCACAAAGTAATTGTCTCAGGGGCTGGGGAAGCAAGGTCTCAGTGGCAGTAACTTCGGACATGCTCCCAGGTGGGCCTTGTGCATAGCCAGGGTGACAACCACAGGGTACAGCAGGGCTCTAACCTTAAATTCCAAATCAGAGACCAAAGGAAATGACCGTCTCATTGGTACCAGAGACCAGCCAGGGATTCTCATGTGGGGTCCCCACCCAGTGGCCTCGTGAGAATCTTTGGATGTGTGGGGGTGATTTCAAAGGACCTGCTTGTTAACAGAGTGCCTGGTACCTGCCTCTCCCAGCACATTAATGGTCACAGGCAGCATGCCAGAAGGAACCCTATGGAGCTTTCTATAAGAAGGATGGTGGGGGGTCTATGGCTCCACCTCGTTGTGCAGACACTGCAGGTTCTCAGCGATAAATAGGGGATACCAGGGACAGGAACACATGGAGGTATCAGCATGTGTCATGCATGTGGATGTCCAGAGACACTTATGGGCATGCCTACATCTGTGATCCCCCTCCCTGCGAGCACACAGGTGCACAGCTCGCCTGCCCCAAAAGCAATGCCAGGTATCCCAGTTCAGGATAAGGGGCCTCAGACCTGAACCGAGGTGGGAATTCTCCACTCTCCCGGGTGTCTCAGACCCACAGTGAAGTAAGACTTGCCCCTACATGGCAGTGCCCCTCAGGCGCAGGGGCTGCTCTGGAGGGACTGCTGATTAAAGGGTGCAGAACCCCAGCTGGAATTCAGAGGAATGCCCAGGGCCCCATCCCCTCTCCCTGACACCCTTGCCTCCAGCTCAGGCCTTGGCACCCCCTAAGGTTCCTCCATGCCACCTTGGGTTTCTGGGAGCAGGAGTGAAATGGGATTTGATGAGTTTTCTTCTCGCATCTTCCTGACCTTCCTGAAGGTCTCCATCGAGATGTGCCTCCCAACATCTTTTAGGTCTAAGAAGGCCATCTTTGAGAGCTAGATAATTGCTATACCTTCTCAACTCAGAAAAATGTACATTACCATCTACACACACAATGTTGAATAAATTTTGAGAGACTCAGTGGTCTCTGTTTTAAAGCTCATCTATAGATCTCATGTCAAGAAAGCTTCCAGAAGCAGCTCCTACTTGAGCACTGCAGGGTCTTGCACAGGAGAGCTGGATGTGTCCCTAAGTCCCAGGAAGTAGCTGAGACTGATACCAAAAGACAAAGACACAACAAGAAAACTACAAACCAATATCTTTTATGAATATAGATGCAAAAATCTCCAACAAAATGAGAGCAAACTGAATCTAGCAACATATGAAGAAGATCATACACCAAGACCATGTGAAATTTATCCCAGGAATGCAAGATGGGTTTAACATGTGAAAATTAATTAACGTAATACACCATATCAATAGGATAAAGAAAAAACACACAATCATCTCAGTAGACACAGAAAAAGCGTTTGATAAAATCCAACACTGCTTCATAATGAAAATACTCAAGACACTAGGACTAGAAGAGAACTTTCTTGACCTGATAAAGGGCATCTATAAAAAGGCCACAACTAACATCATATTTAATAGTGAAAGACTGCTGCCTTCCCCTGAAGAACAGGAACAAGAAAAGGCTGTCTGCTCTCACTACTTCTGCTCGACGTTGTGCTGGAAGTTCTAGCCAGGCAATTAGGCAAGAGAAAGAAACAAACGGAATCCAGATTGGAAAGGAAGAAATAAAACTATCTCTATGCAAAGATCACGCGATCTTACACATAGAAAATACTAAGGAATCCATTATGCTGGAAGAATTAGCAAACGAGCTCAGTAAGGTTGCAAGATACAACATCAATATTCAAATATTAATTGTATTACTATATAACAGCAATGAATAAAGCAAATTATGTTGGGAAAATAATTCTATTTTAAAAGAATTGAATACCTAGGAATAAATTTTTAAAAAGAAGCATGAAACTTTTATACTGTGAATATTAAAAAATATTGTTGAAATAAATTAAAGAAACTCTAAATAAGTGGAAAGACATCCCATATCCATGGGTCAGAAGACTTAAGTATTAAGATACTAATATTCTCCTGTTGGTTAATATTATGTGTCAGCTTGTTTTTGGATGAGAGTAACATTTAAATTGGTGAACTGTTTTGGGTTTTTGTGTGTGTGTGTGAGGAAGAGTGGCCCTGAGCTAACATCTGTTGCCAATCTTCCGCATTTAGCTTGAGGAAGATTATTGCTGAGCTAACATCTGTGCCAATCTTCCTCTATTTTATGTGGGAGGCTGCCACAGTGTGGCTTGATGAGTGGTGCTAGGTCTGCACCCGGAATCTAAACCTGTGAACACCAGGCTGCCCAAGTGGAGCGTGAGAACTTAACTACTACGCCACCGGGCCGGCCCCCTAAATTGGTGAACTTTGAGTAAAGCAGATTTCTCTCCATAATGTGAGTGGGCCTCATTCAGTTAGTTGAAGGCGTGAATAGCAAAAAAGACTGGCCCCCTTGAGCAAGAGGGAATTCTTCAGCAGACAGCCTTCAGACTCCATTTGCATCATTGGTTTTCCTGGGGCTCTGCCTGCTGGCCTTCAGACTAGAACTAGAAGATTGGTTCTCCTGGTCTTGAGCCTGCTGACCCAGACTACAGATTTTGGACTCACCAGCCTCCATAGTCATGTGAGCCAATTCCTTGTAATAAATCTCTCGTTATATATATGTGTACACATTCTGTTCTGTTTCTCTGGTGAACTCTGACTAATTCAACTCCCCATGTTGATCTTCAGTTTCAACACAATACCTGTCAAAACTACAGCTGTCTTCTTTACAGAAGTTGATAAGCTGATCCTAAAATTCATGCAGAAATCCAAGGGACCCAGAATAGCCAAAACAATCTTGGGAAAGAAGACCAAAGTTGGAGAAGCCACACTTCCTGTTCCAAAACTTTTTACAAAGCTACAATAATCAAAACAGTGTGGTACTGGCATTAAGGATAGACACAGATCAACGGAATACAACTGAGAGTCCAGAAATAAACCCTCATATTTGTGGTAAATTGCTTTTTGGGAACAATGCCAAAACAATTCAATGGGAAAAGGATAGTCTTTTCAACAAATGGTGCCAGGACAACTGGATAGCCACAGGCAAAATAATAAAGTTGGATCCCTGTCTCATACCACATCCAAGAATTAATTCAAAATGGGTCAAAGATTTAAATGTAAGAGCTAAACTATAAAACTCTTAGAAGAAAACATAGGAGTTCATCTTTGTGACCTTGGATTAGGCAATAATTTGATGCCAAAGGCACAAGTGACTAAAGGAAAAATAAAATAGACCTCATAAAAATTAAAATTTTTGTGCTGCAAAGAACACCACCAAGAAAGTGAAAAGACAACTCACAGAATGGAAGCAAATATTTGCAAATTATATATCTGATGAGAGACTTTTATCTAGAATGCATTAAGGACTCTTACAACTTGACAGATAAAAACCCCAACTAAAATATGAGCAAAGGATTTGAATGGACATTTCTGGAAGATGATATACAAATGGCCAATGAGCACATGAAAGGATGTTCAACAGCGTTAGTCATTTAGGAAATGCAAATCAAAAGCACAACGAGACACCACTTCACACTCACTAGGATGGCTGTAATCAAAAAGTCAGACAAATGTTAGGATGGGGAAAAAAATGGAATCCTCATATATTGCTGTTGAGAATGAGAAGTGGGGCAGGTACTTTGGAAAACAGTTTGGAAGCAGCTCAAAAGATTAAATATAGAGTTATACTTCGACCCAGAAATGCCACTCCCAGGTATATACTCATAAGAAACGAAAAGATATATCCACCCCAAAAACTTTACACAAATGTTCGTGGCAGTTTTACTCATGAGGGGAAAAAACTGGAAACACCCAAATGTCCATCGATTGGTGAACAGATGAATAAAATGTGTTTTATACTTACAATGGAATATTTTTCAGCTTATTCAATGAATGAAGTTCTGATACTGATTCAACAAGGATGAACTTTGAAAACAGACTGAGTGAAAGAAACTAGGTATGAAAGACCACACATTGTATGATTCCATTTCGATGACATTTCCAAATTGGCAAATCTATGGAGCTAAAATTTAGGACTGGGGTGTCGGTGAATGGCAATGACTGGGTATAGAGTTTTTCTTTGGGGTGATAAAAATGTTCTAAAATTAGGTTGCGGTGACAGATGCATAACTCTGTGAATATTCTAAACACCAGTGTACATTTTAAATGGGTGAATTGTATGGTATATGGATTATTTCTCAATAAATCTGTTTAAAAGAAAAAAAAGGAGAAGAAAAGTGACCCAAAGAGCCTATGGGCGAGCTCCCCGGCACTCCCCTCCAGCCCCGCTTCTCTCCTGTCTGACTCCTGTCTGTTAGGCCCTCCATGCTCTGAGGGTCTGTCATTTGATAGGCAGCTGGCTCCCAGCTGGTTGGTCATCAGTTGGTCAGGTGGGCCACGCTGCTCGGCCAATCAGGATCATCCGGCAGTTGGGCCCTTGGAGACAGAATCAGTTAAACCGACAAAGCTCCATAAGGTGGCCCAGCGTCTCAGTGAGTCAGGGCTGTTTGTTCATCAGGCTCAGTCAGGAGGGCAGTTCGGGAAAGTTCACGGTCAGGGTGGCAGTGATAGGTCAGCAGGTTGGGGCACGCAGGGACAAAATGTGTGCCTGCCCTCAGCCTTGGAGAAGTCCAGACACCAGACGAGCTTGTGAGGATGGGGAAAGTCACCCTCTGCCTGGTAAGAAGTGACAGCATGCAGTGGGGCTGGGCAGGATGAGCGCCCCTCCTGGACCAGGCTGACTCCCGGGGCTGGACTCCCTCCTGAAACCTGAGGGCAGGCCTCCTTCAGAGCATCCTGGAGACAGACTAGGGACCTGGGAAGAGGTAGGAGGAGCTGCTCTGGACACAGGGATTAGGGCAGGATCCTGGGATCCGAGTTGTTAGGGTCGAGAGGGGGCTGCCTGTCCCCAGGGGAATGAGAATAGCACCCATGTTCCTCCTCTGTAAAGTAGGGTGATGACAGCCTCGTGGCGAGGGAATAAGTCAGGGATCCAGAGTTAATCAAAGTAGTGGACTTATAGCACTGCCTGGCCCCAGGAAGCACCCACACAGGTCGGCGGGTGGTGTAAAGGAATTAAGCATGCACAGAGCATCCTGGCAGCAGGGCAGACACATGCCAGTCAGAGGTGACCTGGGAGCCATCCCTGGACATGGAGATATGGGGCTCTGTCCTCTCTGAAATTTTTTTTTAAAAGATTTTATTTTTCCTTTTTCTCCCCAAAGTCCCCCGGTACATAGTTGTATATTGTAGTTGTGGGTCCTTCTAGTTGTGGCATGTGGGACGCCGCCTCAGCATGGCCTGATGAGCAGTGCCGTGTCTGTGCCCAGGATCCTAACCGGCGAAACCCTGGGCCGCCAAAGCAGAGCACGCAAACTTAACTGTTTGGCCACAGGGCCGGTCACAGTCTCTGCAATTTCTGAAATAGTCTCTGGGCAGAATGGGAGAGTGAAGAGAGCACAGCCATGAGCAGGATGGCCAGAGGGCCCCTTAGCCACTGGGCATGGAAGATCCAGTGCCCAGCCCACAGACTTATGGGGCCCATGAAAATTTCTTTCACTTTCTTTTAAAATCAGGAGGAAAAAAATGAACTTAGAAAGAAAATGTTTTTATATGTGGTATTAATATATTCATATTTATACCAACAAGTTATAAAATCAATTTTTGAGTGTTTTATGAAAGGGGCTCAGACAGACCCAAGTGTCCAGGACCCACCCATGTCATGACGCAGCTCTGCGTTGGCTCATTGAACAGGCTGTGAGCTTGGTACTCAGATGTGGATGGGTTTAGTGGGCCCTGCTGCGGGATTTTCCTCTGTGGCTCGGCAGCCCCGGTGTAGACACCCAGAGGGGCAGAGTTGGCTTAGTGAAGTGAATTTAATTTCGCAAAACTGCATGGTCAGCATGCGGAGGAGGCAGAACATGAACTGACAAAGTAAAGAATAAATATTGAGATTTGATAGGAAATATTTGCAGGATTTGGATGGGGTGGAGGTGGAGATGGGAAAGTGTCATCTTGAAATCAAACTTGGTTACTGCTCAGTTTTGCTCAGGATCCTTCCCATCCTTGGGGGAACAGCAATGACAGGAAATTGTCCAGCACCTGCCTCTTCTCCAGGGGTCCAGCTGAAGGGCAGGATCACCGGGGCACGTAGTGCAGGGATCGTATTTGCTGAGCATGCACCACACAGACAGCGGCACAGGTACACACTCACATTGTACACACAGACAACGGACACGCTGAGACACACCCACATTCACACACAACCCACCTCTCCTTCCCACAGCCCAGAAGCTGCATGTGGCAGGGGGTCCCGCAGGGAGCATATCCAGGAGGAATGTTCTAGGGGACGTCCCTGTCAAGATACCTCCCCTCCCTGGCCATAATGAACTCATGGGAGCTGGGCAATGGGGTATGTGGAGCAGGGAGAGGGGTGGTAGGGACAGTAGGGTGGAAGAGGAGGGGAGGGAAACTGCCTAGAAATGCCCCATAGGGCAACCAGGACCCCGAAGGACCCCCAAGAGGATAGGAGAGAAAGAGGGAAAGGGACCCCCATGTGAAAAAGGGGCTCACATAACACCTCCAACAGAGCACTAGGAAATAATAAAATGGATCCGCTGCCAAGTACTGAGAATGGGGCTCACACAGGCTGAACGCCTGCATATGTCTTCTGCTCCTATTTGAGCTTCACCAGGAGAAGAGTAACGTCTTGTTCATCTTTTTCTCTAGCCATCAGCCACGATTCCCTTTGCATTGCCAGCCGTCCCAGCCTACCACCTCCTCCCTCCAGGGCTGCTGCCCCTGAGATGGGGCACTGGAGCAAAAGGCTCCCCTAAGAACGAGGACAGGGGACCAGCATCCCCTCCCCCAGCACCTCTCAGCTCCACACAGACATGGATGGAGGCCCAGCTCTGAGGCCCCTGACAGGGCCATGGTTACTTGGAGAACCAGACACACCCACCACCTGGACCTGGGGCTGAGAGGCTCAGAGGAGGTGACAGGACTAAAGGATCGGGTCACCAGGCTTCACACACTCAGAGGGTCCTGCAGGTTCCCCGGCCCCTCCCACCAGGCTGCTCCTGCACTGCCCACTCCTCGGAGGGTCTTCAGTGGACAGGTAAGGCCTGAGCACTCACCTGGCTCCCCTATTGTGCAGATGGGCAGCCACTCTGCTCTAGGGACCAATTTTCCCAGATAAAATACCTGATTTCCGCAATACCAGGCTGCCATAGGATGCACAGCACTGTCCCCCACCCCTCCTGCGCCCCCCACCCCCACCCCGCAATCCACCTGGCTTGGACCCTGCAGTTTAGATAACAGAAATACACTCACTTGCTTTTCTGCCCCTTAGGGAGCCAGAGTCATGGAAACAAAATGCAACTTCTGTTAACCTGTTGGTTGTGATATGATTTCTTATAATGCTCATATGTTTGAAAAGCCAAATTCTAAGAAAACAGGGGAGGCATTGCGAACATAACAGTCAGCCGGTAGGTAGTCCTCAGAACCAAGCTTGTTCTTGCTGATTCTGCTCCAGCTGGTGCTCAACTGAGCTGCAGGCATCAGGTGGTCAGACTCTCAGAGGGACCATCAGGGAGGGGACTCCTGGAGGCTGGACCCATGTGACTCCTGCCCGAGCCAGTAGCCCCGGCCACACTGCCTGGGGAGGGGAGGAGACTCAGGCCTGGCTGTGGGATCTCCTCTCCCTACCGCCTGACCGTCCATCTTAGCCTCTCACTTGGGACAGAAAATGACGAACAGAGAACAAGACCCCAGAGAACCAACAGTCAATAGGATCACGAAAGCCTTTCACTTCTCCTTTGCCAGTTCACAGGTGTGGTGGACCCACTTTGGATGCTGAGGGAGCTGAAGGAGGCAGCTGCGTGGCTGGCTCCCTCCTCCCAGAAAGGGGAACGGCGCCCTTCCTGTGGCCTCAGCTTCCGTCTCCCACACTGAGGGAGGCCGTGGGTGACCAGATGCCACCTCCCACCGGGGGCAGGACAGGACTTGGCTGACCCGGGGGAGATTCTGCATCTTCCAGCCTCTCCTGGGAACTTCTGCCCAGCAGGGCTGCCCCCTGCTGCCACCTGGTCTTAGGCCCTCACGTCCTGCAGAAAAAGGCCTGGACTCAGAGAGAAAGCTGGAATCTGAATGCAGCCCCTGCCCGTCTGGCTGGGTCCACTTCCTGAGCTCTAGGGCCTCAGGCTTCTCCTCCTCCTCCTGAGCAGTGAGGCCCAGGGACAGTCTGAGAGCAGGGCGGGGAGCTGGGAGGGGAGGAAGCTCAAGAGCCAGGATTTAGCTGATAATGCCCAGCAGAGGCCTGAGTTCAAGGGCCACTTGGGGCCCCTGCTGGCTGTGTGTTCTTGGGCAAGTTTCATAAACTACTCTGTGCCTTTGTGCTCCTCAAAGGGTGATAACAAGAGAACCGAGGCCAACGCCATGTGGGGGTCTCTACTGATCCCTCTGCAAAGACCCATGCGGGATATGGGGCTCTGGGTAGGGCTCTCCTCCTCGCAATGTGCTGCTGGGGAGACGTGGAGCAGGGTGACCTCTCAGAGCCTGGCCATCCCCATCTTCATGCCTCTGTCTGGAGGGTCAAATGAGGTAAAGGTCAAGTGCTTGCTTCCACGGCCCCCCAGCCAGGTGTGCTGAATTCCCTGCAGACTCTCCAGGTCAGAGTCCTTTTGACATGAGGTCCACCTCCCACCTGAGACTCAGCAGGTGAGCTTCTTGGGGAGCTTGTCTGGTTTTGTTTTTAATCACAGGAGACAGAAATATGTGACTGGGCTGCATTTACCTTCACGTTGTAATCAAGTTGTAACCACCTGGAGATGAAGTGAAGGCCCATCTTCAAACCCAAGTTCAATCCTCAGCCGGTCTCGCTCATTGAAGGGGAGAGGGTCATGGCAGCTGGAACAAGATCTGGGTAGCCGGGACCGTGCCAGTGGCAGTGCTCAGCCCAAACATTAATTTGGGTTTGAGGACCTCTCTCTGGAAGGGTTTCATGACCAGATCTTCCCGGAGATGGCATCACAGGGTTTGGTCTTTGAAATATTTCTCTTGCTGGGCCATTTCATTTATTCTCCATTCTCTTCCATTCTCATTGTTTTTTGGGCTCACTTTCTGGTCATTCACAGGGTCTTACAGAGTAACTATCTTCCAGTGGCTCACCTCCCCTGACAGCTTATGCTCACCTCCTCCCTTTCTTTCTTTTCTGGAATCTGCTTCTTTGGATGAACCACACTGGTGTTTTCAAAAGGTTCCTTGCTGGTTTTGTCTTTTTTCATAATCTGATAGTATTTTAACCCCTTTTTGTCTTTTTGTGGTGACATTTTTGAGCTTCTGCTTAAGCCGCTGTTGAGTCATCATTTACAGAGGGTGAAAAAATTAAAAAATGGTGATTATAGGCTCCCCTGAAACTTCAAACACAACTGACCAAATCTGAGAGCTTCAGGGGCTGTAGCCGATAGCAATCCAATATTATCCCCTCTGTGTGTAACTTTTAGACATGAGAGGGCTTCTAGGCTTATGGGGAAGCTTTGGTATTTCTGGTTCTTGGGGTCAAACAAGTTTGACCTTGTGTAGGCACTTCCATTTGAAGACTCATTTTCTCATGTCCTCTCATATTTTTCCAGGAGTAGTGGATCTCATTTACCTCACTTATGGATGTTTCAATTCCCTCCTTTCAGTGTTCTGTGGATTAGGGAGTCTCACTGGGTAGCTGTTATCCAAGGTCCAAGGAGTGGCCAGTGGGACATGAATGCCCCCCCCCCCCCCTTGAAGAGAGCTTGTACTTGAATAGTTGAGCTTTCCACTGAGGCACTGCCTGTCACCTTCCTCATCCCCAGGGTGTCTCATCTTCTTGAAGCTGCCATTCCCACCCTGGCTATCCAGGCCACCCAGAGCCCTGGTCGCCCCAAGTGGAGTCAATAGCAGAGTCAAATTTGTAGGGTAAGAAGCGCCAAGGCTGGACAGTGTCTCTCTGGGCTTGGCACAAAACTCTTCTCTCCTCTCAGTGATTACCTGGCCAACAGCCAGCTCCTGCTCTGGTTGGATCTCAGTGAGACCTTGGCAACCATTCCTTCCCTCTGTGACTCATCCACAGACATCTCCATGGATCACTTGCTCTCTGAGTCCATGTTGCAGAAGGAACCATCCCTAATGTCTCCTGTCTTCTTCCAGCTTGGCCCTTTCTCTCACTCCATCGCACTGGAATCAGCAAGTGTCCCACACTTTAGAGGTGAAAAAATTGGGCACAGAAAGGGTGGTCTTCTTAAGATTACATGGAGTTGACAGTGTGGTAAACCCTTGAAACCAGGGCTCAATAATCCGGGGCTGCCTCCCAGGGATTCCTAATGTCCAAGAGTCCCAATGAGCTGCCCCACCCCGAGCACATGGCCTGAGGTTTCCATGGTGATGGTAAATCAACATCACCTGCTGCTTTCATTGCTGCCATGTCCCCTCTCATCCTATTCCATGCTGAATTTCCAGATGTGATCAACAGAATCAAGGGGAATGAAACCCAAAGGTGAGGGGCCAGACCCTGGGAGTGCCAGCATTGGAGTCACAACAGGGGCTGGCAGCTCTGAGGCTCTGAGTTCAGAGGCTTCAAACCTTGGGAGAAGAGCAGCAGCACCCAGAACAGGAGACTGGGGACCAAGTTTGTGCTGGGAAACAAGAATATAGGCATGAGTTGGAGAATCCTAATGTTCATGGGACCCCAGCAGGCAGAGTTAGGACCAGCTCAAGGGAGGACTGTTGCTGGAGGGTTGTCCAAGAACAGGGCAGACACCTGGATCAGCGTGGGGTCTGCAAGGCACTGGAGGCCCAAACGCTGCTGCAGGGACAGTGCCAAGGGGACTCAAACATGGGGTATGGGTAGGAAAAGGTGCTTTTCATCATTTTTCAAAACCCAAGTGACAAATTCACGTGCTTCTAAGAGGCAAATAGCTCCACATGGCGCACAGAGAACTTCTTCCTCCTGCCACCACTGTCTCCTCTCAGACGAAGTATTGTTCATAATTTGACCTTTTCCTATTTTTTTAACCTCCTTCAGTTCTCTTTTCATCTCATCCTTTACCCCTGATATTTCTTCCTCAGTCTCTCATATCTCAACATTTGCCTCCTGCTTTTAGAGGTGACTGCTCCATTAATTCTGTCATTTGATTGCAAATGTTTGGTCTTACTTTTCATTTGCCTCATGGCAACCTTTTTTTCAAATGATTTTCCTGTCCTTTTTCTGGTCTCATCTTTGATTATATTACGTGCTCATCCTTTTCTGATAACTTATCTTTGAATGAGTTGCGTTTACCTGCCCTAAATTCCTGTAAAAGTCTCATGTGGGCTGTGTCTCAGGGTCTAATATATTTCCTTGTGATTCAAGGTTTTGTGTTTTGTTCCCCATCTGAAGGAAAATGAAATAGATAGTATATACGAGAGGCTTTATAATATGCACAGGAAGCCATAGAGAGTACCAATAAGATAAACTGTGTGCCCACCTCCCAGCTTAAGAAATGAACCACCACTATCCTTGCGGTCTTCTGTGTGTCCCCAAATATATCTCCCTCACACCCAGGGTAACTAGTATCCTGAATTTTATGCTTATTAGTCACTTTTCTTCATGGTTTTATTGCATTAGGGGGTATATTCACAATCATTAACTGCTTTTGCATGTCCCAGGACATTACATATAAATGGTTTTGGTCTGCATGTCTGTCTGATGTAGCTATTGCTCAATTATGCTACATAACAGTCATCCCAAACCTCAGTGGGATGCCACTGAGGAGGCAGTGGGGCTCAGCTGGGCTTAGAGCCAGGATCCAGGCTTCGTCCAGATCTGGTCCACATGTCTCTGGTGTGTTTGAACCTACGGCTCCCTGACACATGCTCTTCGGATGGCAGGAGACAGAAGCACAAGAGAACAGGACCAAATACACAAGCTCATTTCAGCTTTTGTTTATGTGATATCCACTAATTACATTGGCCAAAGCAAGACACACTCTAGCCAAAAGTTCAAATAATATTAAAATTACACTGTGGATTTGTTCTATGTTGGAACGTAGCTGTAATTTATTCGTTTTTATTGATGTATTTCATCATAAAGGCTATGTTTCCACTGCTCTGTTAATAAACATTTGAGTGGTTTCTAGATTTTGTGAATGAAGATAACGCTGTTCTGAACAGTCCTTCGGATGTGTCCTGGGGAAGGTGTGCAAGAATTTCCATAGATTGCGTAACTATTCAGCCTACTTATCCAAAATTTGGAAGTAAAGTAGAAAAATGATGGTGTGACAGTTAAGTCTACTTAAAGGTCATCTAACTCTCATGGAATGAAACTTTGTTGATTTGCGTTTGCAGTTAATTGGAACTCTGTTTTATAACTCTCTAATGTTAAAGGTTAACTAAAGAAAACTGGTTTGGTGTGTTGATTTTTAAATACTCAGTAAAGGAGATAACACCAAAAGTTACAGTATTATTGCCCTGGGGGACAGTAATCAGTTTTGTATTGAATTTAGCAATTTTATTTCAGCATTTCTTTCTCCATAGATTGTATAAAAATACTCAGGTCCTCATTGAATTAATTTTGCATTATGCTGCTCACTTCATTAACAAGTTAAATAAAATCTTGGCATGTGCTTGCCATTTATTTATATGAGAATTCTTTTTAGCAATTTGAGATGATGCTTTTATCTATCTAGGGGTAGAATTGCTGGTTCACGGGAGAGAGCCACGTTTAATTTTACTCAATCATAAGATCAAACTGTTTTCCAAAGTGACTGAATCAATACACACCCCCAACTCCAGATTAACAGACCTTGCCAACAGTGGTAGGCAGCTGTGCACCTGTTCACAAGAATACGCTGTCCCCTGTGTCATTCACCAAACAAACTGCTGCCTGCAGATATAGCTCACCCATGGAGCCTCACTGGGCTCCTCTCTATTCTTTCCCCGTTAGGAGGAAATCAGGTCCGGGGAAGTTGCCACCAGACCTGTGCACACCATGTCCCATCCTGCAAGGAACGGGTTTGGTTTTGCCACTCAGGATGCCTCCCTCTTCTTTTGCAAGCTCAGCTCTACCAGCACCCTTGCTGGTTCAAATACCATCCATGGCTCCCCTGCCTTATCTAGAGTATAAACCAGCCCGAAAATTCTTGCTGTTGGTAAAGGAGACTTGAAGCCAGAAATGTGATCAAAAAGGTAATTCCCAACCCCTATCTGCTCACTAATCCTTCTGCCCTTAACCTCCTTCCACCCACATGGCTACACTGGTTCTCTGAGCCCTGAGTGTGATGCCATCTTGTATCCATGGGCCTGTGCTCAAAGCAGAACTGGTGTTGTGACAGTAGGTAAAATTCCTTAGGAGTAGTTCTCATTCCTTTCCTGGTTGAAAACATAGGACATTCCAGCTTTGATTTTGATCACCCAGCTAACATCCAGGTACCATTCCTCTCTTATAGCTGGTATTCAGGTTTGCAAGGTAATATTAAGCTTACCCAAATATTTTTTAGGAAGATACACTTTTTACAAAGCTTCACAAATCTGAAGTGGAAGCTTCCTCCATCTTGGCTGCTCAATGGTGGCATAAGAGAGACTTTGGGTCAATGTACACATTTATGATCTTAGACTGTGGTCCTTGCCCAGACACTGACAACTCCCAGATTTCTATCTCCTGCCCTGACTACTCTCCTGACTCTGGATTTATTCAGCCAAGTGCCTACTTGAGATCTCTACTCAGTTATCTAATAAGCATCTCACATTTTTCAGTTTATCCTTCATCAAGTTACAAGATATCAATGGGCATCAGTTTTCTTATCTGAAAATGGGACCCAAAGAACCACTGACACCATAGGGTTATAGGGAGAAATAAGAAAATGCTTGTAACATGCTAAGCCTATAGGAAATGCTTGTATCAGTCTGGGTCCAAGAAAGAGTCAGAAACCACACAGTGATTTAAATATGGGACGTTTAATATAGAGAAATAATTAAGCTATGATAAAATAAGATGTAAAGAGAACTCTATAGGATGGGGCTGAGGGAGGGTACCCAAGGAAGGACACACCCATACCACTGACCAGTTTGGCTGCCACCAGAACCAGCAAGAGAAGTCCCTTCCTCCTGCAATGCTCCTCCTGTGTGTGCCCTGTACTAACAAACTGAACATTGTGCTCACTGTAAAGGAGAGCTGCTGAATACCATTCATATCACACAGCAGATATGGGAGCATGAACAGGAACCGAGAGGCAATAAATTGATCACTGGCACAAGGCTCAATAAATATTCACTTTCTGATGGGGGTTCTTCATTTTAAGGGAAGAACAAGATCTTACTCTGTATCTCTGTCAATGAACGATGGCCACCTTCATATGACCACTTGTCCTGGCCCATAACGTAGCACCAGCTCCAAGCTGCCAGGTACCCGAGAATCTGCCAGCTGAGCATCAACAAGGATGGAGCCCAAATCCATCACAGCTGAGGCAACAACGCAAAAGGAGAGCAAGAAGCCCCCTCAGACACAACTGAGGACTGTCGAGTTGGGAGGAGGTAAAGATATGAAACAATAAGGTCACAAGGCAAGGAAGCGTCCACAGACTCAGAGTTTCTGGCATGTTCCAGCTGTGGCCCACAAGCCACCTCTTCCTCCTCTTGCTGTGGGGCCCTAGGTGGATGCACAGGCCTCTGACCCAGCCCAGAGCTTCCCATTAATTTGTAGAGCAAAGGACATTCAAAATATTTCATTAGCTCTGATGACAGTCCTTCACTTAGGATTTATATATGCAATTATTCATTTTTACTGCTGTTTATTTGCAATATCACCTTTCATTTATTTATGATTTACTCAGAAAATATTGATGACATACCACCCATAATGCACCATGCTGGGGGTTATGGATATGGTAATAAATTAAGGCAGACAACAAACTTGCCCTTGATTCCTGGTGAGTAACAAGAGATTTTCCCTTCTTAAACAGAAGAGGCTTCTTTCACCTAAAAAACACATGCACACATAGAGAACAATCACCTATTTATCAGCAAATATTCACTGAGGACTTGCGCAACACTTAGCGCTGTTGGAAGAGGGATAGAACGCTATTTTTGTTTTTGCCCTTAATGATTCACAACCATCCTGAGAAGGCAAGAGAGACATAATGCACAGAGAGAAAAAGAGGAAAATTTCTCAGCAGTCGCATGTAATTAAAAACAAAAATCTGGGGCCGACTCCATGGCCAAGTGGTTAAGTTTGCGCACTCCGCTGCGGCGGCCCAGGGTTCTTGTCCTGGGCGTGGACACGGCACTGCTTGTCAGGCCACGTTGAGGCGGTGTCCCACATCCCACAACTAGAAGGACGTGCAACTAAGATATACAACTGTGTACGGGGGTGTCGGGGGTGGGGGTTTAGGGAGATAAAGCAGAAAAAAAAAAAGATGGGTAACAGTTGTTAGCCCAGGTGCCAATCTTTGAAAAAAAACAAAAACAAAAACAAAAATCTATATGAGACTAGAAATGATTGACAGTGTCACAAAGGAATGAAATATAACATTTTTTCCAGAACATGACTACAACCCTAATTAATCTATGTCTGAAGTAATTCCACAAAGACATGCTGAGTGTCTCGTACATGCCTGACACTGTGCTGAGAACCACAAAGAGAAGTTAACCCAAATTAGGTGCTGTCAAGATGAAAACAGAGGAGAAAAACTCTTAGAACACCTCTTAGTGCTTCTTTTTCATCTTCTCCTTGAGATTAAAGTTCCTGAATTATTCACAGGAGAGAGGACCTTATAACAAACTGCTTTCACATCTTGAGTTGAAACACACTGGCTTCAGTTTAAAACCGCCCCTTTTATTAAATTCCATAGTGTTACAAAGTATAGTTAGAACAAACCTCACTTATGCGTGCTCAGACTAAATTGGATTTTTAGGTATCCGAAGTCTGTATTTTCTCAATTTTTAACAAATGAAGTGCTATGAAATAAAACTTATTCAGAAATATGGGTCTTTCCCATATTGAGGAGGGAGAAAAAACGTTTAAGCCTTTCCGTATTAGCCTAAGAAGGCGGCGGCTTAGGGCAGCGATGTGACTACAGGGAACGGAAAAATGGAGATTACAGTCAGACCTTGCAGGGAGTGGACAAACGAGAACTACAAACAGTCTTATCCCCCTCCTTTTTTTTTCTTATTCTAAAGGAAGGAGAATTTAATACTTTTCAATGAAGTAAAGCCAGTCAACCATTTCAACTTTCCAAAGGTTGATATGTGTTTTATCAGAGTTTTAGTATAAGGAATACCAATTCCTTAAAAAAAATCAGCAATATATAAGTGAAAACTAATCTTGTTTAATCTGCATTAAGATGGTATTGTAGGGGAGGAAGACATTTCCTCTCCCCAAATGGGGGTTTGTCTGGCCGGAGAACTAATTAAATTCACATGAGACAGAATAGCAAGAGAAAATTAAACAAAGCTTTATGAGGAACCATGGCCCGGGGCCTTTCTTCCCGAAGGAAGAAAGGGCACCGAAGAAGTGGGGTGCACATAGTGGTTATATGCCCCCAAATGGGGTGTTTCACATGTGATTGAAATGTCCCTCCCACAATAGTCACAAGATTGCCCTGTCGGCACAGTGCTTGATGGAAACGACAGATAGGTCTGCTGTCCCAGTGAACGCCGGGGTGGCAGGTGTGTGGCCTCAGGCTGGGGGGGGGGGGGGTGGTCACAGATGAGCGCCACATTCGGTTCCCAGCCTAAGGAAAGATGCTTAATCTTTAAGGAGATGCCAGCGTTGGGAGGGGGAGGGAAGTCAGTTACAGGAGGTTACCAGACTAGCACAATAAAATGCATATTTAAGTCTTTGCCTTTGGTATTGATTAAGAGTAGGTCATCGCCTTTCTTCTTCCTGGTACAGAGAGGGAGGCACCTTTTACAGATAAGAGATTTACCTTACAAATGTAAACGTGTCCTAACAAAGGGCGAGTTCCATTCCTCAGAGCCTCCTTCCCTGTCCCAGTTTATCAAAAGCAATCAGCCTCAAATAATCCTCATGCCAAAGAGACATATCTGGGGTGGCCAATTCCAGGTCCCCACAGTATACACATAGGAAACTGGGTTAAGTATCAAATTGTGATCAATAAATTGTTGCAACACATTACCAACGCGCCGTTGCTCTACGGGCTCAGAACAGACGAGGGCGCCAGCGCGCTGAGAGAGGGAGAGAGCAGAAGGTCTTTGCGCCTCAGCTCAGAGACTGCGGTTTCTGAAGGGGCAGGCAATGAGGAAAGAGGGACAGACAGAGTTGCTGTTTTCTGAAATAAACGCTTTCAGGCGCTATTTGACAGTCCCACGTGAACGTATAACTTTGATTTTTAAAATGAAAAGAGCCTCTTTCCTATTACTCAATGCCTGCCTGCTCCCTTCTAGGACAACTCCACCACCAAGAAGGTCTTCCAGTTCTTCCTAGAACTAGTAATTCCCAGAACACTAGTGGGCCTTCCCTCGGCGGGTCCTGGTTTGGACTCTAACGTGCTAGGCACCTCTGGGCTCTCCCAGCCTCGCCTCCTTCTGCGGTGCCCAATCTCCGCACTTGAGACCCTGCGGCCGCGCCCCGCCTCCGGGAGCGTAATTGACTGCGGCGCGGGCTGCGCTGCACAGCACCCCCGGTGTCCGCGCGAGCCACGCCCCCCGTGCCAGCTCTCCTCCGCCCTGCCCGGTGGGCGTCCCAGGGCAGATTTCTTGCCGGGAGACCAGAACTACTTTGTTGCCTGACTTTGTTTCAAAGACGTCCTACAGGCTCTGCCGAACTTTCTTAGACGGAACCACTGTCTAGGGTACTCCCTCCCATCTTCCCCTCTCTGCCCCACTGGGGATGAGACTCACGTCGAGGTCTGACGGCTCTCCCAGCCTCTCATAGATCCCACCTCCCTTTTTACCTCCCACCCTTTTCACGCAGGCATGTCCCCCGAGAAAAAAATCCTTGCAAGTTTAATCTGTTCTTGAGGCCCCAACCCCCTCTGTTCCCAGTCGTGGCTGTCCCAGGTCCTGGTCCTGGTCGACAGTGGCGGACCACTGAGCCACACCTGTCCCTTTCCCAGGCCCGGCCCCCGCCTTAGGGCTGCATCTCTCCGCGTGTCAGCTCATCAAACCTGCACATCTGAACTATCGCTCCTGATGACAAAGTTAGATTGGGGGCCAGTGGGGTCGTTGCAGGTGTGGACCAGGCAGGAGAGGCTTGTTTAGCATCACTATGGAAACCCCAGGCACCCATCTTGGAAAGGTGTTTTAAAATGGCCGGGTCAGACGCTCAAGGGGCGGAGTCAGTAGAGAGGGGGCAGGGAAATTCTCTGCCCCTCCCCCCGTGCTTCCGGGCAGGACTGGTGCGGAGCTCTTCATTTCTCCTCACGCCAGCAGCAGCAGGTCCAGGGCCGTCCCGACTCCCGGAGAGAGAGCTCGGAGTTCAGGGGCTTGCGGGCTTCGACCCGATGGTGTGAAGTGAGAATGTCAACTTTTCTGAGCCCCAATTTGTTTTTCTTCTGCACACTTGGGACATATCCTGAGTGACGCTGGACAGATGCAGGTGGGATGGGGTGAGAGGATGGCAAGAGTTGGAAGGAAGGACCGTGGCTGGGTGGGTCCCTCTGGGACAGAGTAGGGCAGGCACAGCTCTAGGGACATTTCACAGGAAGGAATGCGGGGGGTGGGCTGCCAGGACGTCACAAGGGTCCCATTGTGACGCCCCCCCCCCCCAGCAAAGCTGGGGATTGGCCCAAGGAGCGGAGGGGGAGGGGCAGATAGGAGGCTGGTTGCCAGGGCCTGAGCCCAACAGGGAGACGACGGGACAGAGTGGTGGCACTCTGGCTCCAGCTCCTCCTCCAGGCCCCTTCATCCTGACCCTTTCACAGCCTCCTCTAACCAGGACTCCGACTTCCCTCTCCGTCTCCTCTATCCGGCTCCAGGCGGGCCCCTCCAGGCCCAGCAGAAGCACGGGTCTGTGGACAGGGTGCGGCTGGCAAAGGATCAGTGGACAGGGTGGGGCTGGCTGCACCACGCGAATGAGACCTGCCATAGGGAGACCCGACGCAGGGGCAGAGCGAAGATGGGGCCTGCACAAATCTGGCTCCGATGAGGACTCACCAACCATCCGGCGTCCTCTCCTGGGTCTCTGGCCCCACGGCCCCACGCTCGGGTTAGGCCTCCAGTTGTTGCCCACTGGCCTCCTCCAGCTTCTCTTCTCCTCCAGCTTCTCTCCTCCTCCAGCTTCTCTCCTCCTCCTCTCTTGTCTGCTCTTGAATTTCTTTAAAAATTTCCCTGCCTCCAGGCTCGTTTTTGACTTACCTGCTGATCAGTCCCTGGATATTCACATCTGCCTGGGGTCACCAAGTCAAGATGACCGTGGTGGGGATGGAACTCTGAGTTTCCTGGACCACAGTGCAGGT